TCACACACCAGGTGAAATTGCACATATCCCAGGCCTGGACACACCTAAGTTACATTATGCTGTCTACATTCAGCTGAGGAGTCACTTGGCGAAAAGAAAATGATTTCCAAGAAAGAAATCAAGAAAAAGGCACAGGAGATGCAGAAAGAGCTGGAGTCACGGGGGTTGACGCACAACGACAAGTTTCAGAAGCTGCACGCTTTCTGGCGCAATGGGGGGGGCCTGTAAAATGTACAATGTTACAATATTGTACAATCAAAGTTACACAAGGGGGGGGCCTGTAAAATGTAACCGTCAGCCTCGCAGAGTCCAAGTTACAATTTCCAAACCCCCCTCAATCATTTTGTCTTTTGCTGACAGTATGGCACAGTCACATCTGCAGGGAGGGGGGGGGGGCCTGTAAAATGTAACATGAAGGCCTGGATAGTTCAAGTTACAATTTCCAGCCCCCCCCCTCTCTTTTGGGGGGGGGGCTGAAAATGTAACTACAGACCTGGCAGACATCATGTTACATTTTTAGACCCCCTCCCCCCCCCTCATGCACCTCAATAGGGGTACCTGGGGGGGGGGTAAGTTACATTTTTCGAGGGGGGGGGAGGGGGTGGGAAAATGTAAGTTACATTTTTCAGACCCCCCCCTGAAATCCATGGCTAAGGGGGTGGGGATTATATATATATATATTTAATACTCGGGCCCTGAATGTTTGAATGTTGCAAACAAAACACTCTACGGAATTTCCACTTCGAAGGTTTCGCAACGCACGCCTACATTTACCCGACGTTTTAGTTCCCAAAAAGCACCTTCTGCTTCAGAAGGATCCCTGTTATATACACTGTTTTCGGGTGGTGACATGTGATGACACCCATGTTTCAGCTTGCAAGGGGCTTTCTGGGGGGATTCTGTGCGCAAGGGTCTGGCCAAAAAAATAGCATTTGTCCAGCATCAGCATCCATTTAGTGAGTCGTACGGGCTTTTGGCGAGTCCTTGAAGAAGAGATTACTTCTAGGAACCGCATCACAGGCAGGTCCGCTACTTGCTACGTTTATGTCCTTTGTATTGAGAAAGCATGCTTGTACTTGTACGAAGCAGCTGAAACATGACCTCGGACCCTTGTTGCCTGCTCCCTAAATATGTCGCAAACCCATCCCACAAAGCAATGGGCGCCCCAGGTCCTGCACCTTCATAAACAACCTGCAAGCCAACAAAAGGAAAAGAAGCAAAAACGAGTGTGACCTGCGTCACTCCTGTGTCTTTTCAGCCGTTTGAGGTGCCCAAGACACCTCCCACCCATCCCACCCATCCCACCCATCCTGTCCGATCCCTTCCACCCCGGTCGGGGCGACACGCGTGGACCCCCCCCTCGGCCACGCCGCTGTTGTGCGCATTGGGATCCGCGTTCAGCTCCGCCATGCTGGGCGGCGGCTTCAGCGCGGCGAGGCTCGCCGGCGCCGGGCCGCCGGGCGCCTGCAGAGTGGGGAAGGGAGGAGCCTCCAGACGGCGGTGAGGTACGTAGATATAAAGAACAAAAGAGACTCCAGAAGCTGTGAAGCTGTGGGTTGGAAGAACTCGGAAGCGTCACCTTTGGGGGAGCCTCTACGCGCCGTTTCCTCGTGCCTCGGGCCCCGGCCGGTTTGCAGTGCACGAACGGTGTGGAGGACGGTCGCCGATGCGACCGTCGTGTGTTCAGGTCTGGTGTTCGGGTCTCCCATCTGATCGCTACGGTCGCAGCGGGAGACGCCACGCCACCAATGCAAATCGAAAGATGTCCGCAACAGGGAGGACCGGCTTGGTGAATTCCACAACCTGGTTCGAGAGTCACGAGAGTACTCTCCCAAATCAATAACTGATAAAGCAAAGATGCTGTTGCCTCATTTTTACATATTTTTACGCGCGCCCTCTTTTCCTCCCCCTGCCTTGAAGTCAGCCAAGGGGGGGGCCGCCACCTCCTCCATCATCTCCTCGGCCCGGCGAAGCCGGGCGTGGACCCTCGCCGACCATCCTATCCAGCGGATCTATCCTATTAGCTGTAACAGTGGATGATGGTGGTCAGTAAAGACCTGGTTCAAAAATAGTGATTTGCTGGTTTACTGACTGTTGACTGTATTAATTGGACAGACCCTATATATAATGTAGACCGTAGACTCTTGACCAATCAACTCCACATGTAAAGAGGCTTTTCGATTCAATTGGGGAGGGTTTATCAGTCAAGAGTCTACAGATGTCTACATGATGGAATTGTTTTTGAAGGAACCCCCGAAACTGTTCGGCTTCGTTTCACACCCGACCGAGAAAACCTCTCCCTTCTGGGGGTCCCAAGTCCTTCCCGTTTCTCTTCTCTTCGGGCACCCAACGTCCTGAGTCTTCGGTCCCAAAAATGCACTGTCACAGTCGGCCCCTGGGGGTGCCGGAGACCTCACCCTTCTTTTTGAGGGTCTGTTAGCAAACAACGAAAGGGTCTTGTTTGACGAAAGGGTTTTAGAATGTTTTAGATATATGATATATGTATAGACTACAAAAGCCAGGTCAACCTTTCTGTGTACATCTTCCTAAAAAGATATATATATATAATATATAAACAAAAGTGATATAAATAGTCGAACGAAAGGCTATTGAAGGGCCCCCCAATTGAGGCCTCCAAGCAGCCACCAAACCCCAATCACGGCAGAGCGTTCAAGTGTTTTGGTGTGTGTCTGCCATCAGGAGGTGCCCAGGTGAGCGTCACCCTGGCTTCCGAAGAGTCTACCACGTGTGGTGACCTAATCTCTTCTTCCAATCAAGCTCTCACACACGACAAGTGGACCTCAGTTGCACACTCGTGGCCATGGATGATGGACTTCAGGACCTCTCTTGAATCGCCAAGGGGAGGCTACGAGGAACGTGCCAAACCTCTTATGTGTTGTAGTGTGCACTCTTCCCAACGTTATCCTTTTTTTGGCAGTTGCTCACATGGTGCCGAAGTTTTTTGGGCCCCACTTCCATCATCCCTCCCTTTCTCCGCCCGGCCACCGTGCGAGAAGCGGCACGCCGCGCCGCGGGTACATCTGCCCCGCTTGAAGTCGCCGCATTGCTCACCACCGCCTGAGCTGACCAGGGAGAGTCCGGGTCGCAAAAGGATGGCCTGGTGAGTTGGAGCGGTTGCTTGGTTTCTGAAAGTGAGTTGAAGTTTGTTGCTTTCACATGTTCCAACTCGCTCTCTTGGGGCTTGTTGCTTTCACACGCTGAGAACAAGAGTTTTGTTATTTCTGAATCGTCTTCCGGGCCGAAGCCTTGTCACTTCCGGCGAGCTCCAGCGCAGGAACCGTGAAGAACGCGGTCCGGGCCGGTCCGCACCGGTCCGGACGTCTTTCGCAAACAGAGCCGATGGGTCCATGGGTTCATGCATGGATCGTGCAACAGAACGCTGCACCACCCTGAAGCCAGGCATCACGTCCAGGCACAAGTGAACATCTGTGTCTAGAAATAGCAGATTCATGTAGACTCTTGATCAATAAGCCCTCCCCATTTGGATTGAAAAACCTCTGTGTATGGGTGGCTTAGTAATCAAAGAGTCTACATCAAGGAGTGGCGTTCCGAATCGCGAGAGCTCCGGCCTCCGCCAAAGCGAGGGCCACCGCCAGCGCCACCGCCTGGCGGTGACTGGTGCGTCCACGACTGGGCGTTGGTCCGCTCCTCTACAGGTGGTTGCGACTAAACGCAGTGCAGAGGGCAAACCTTCGGACTTGTCTTTCCTGGATCCCGGACAGAGAAGCAAGGAGTTGTGAGTTGTGGTTCCCCTTTGCACGCCCAATGTCTGTTAGTGTCCAATCCACGCTCGGTCCGTGGATGCATCTAAAGATCTCTTTGTGGCCGAGCGTTTTCCGTGCGAACTCCCGGACGTGGCAGCTGCCAAAGCCATGCACCGACATGCGCCGGTTCTTTAGAACAGAGACGACCAATGACGGCGGGTTCTTTGGATCCTTTTGTTCAGGATAAGATCGCTTTTCATATAAGCCTAATCAGCACCCATGCATGAAAGGGTCCTAGGAGGAAAACTAAAGCTATAATGCTACACCTTTCCACCTATAGCCTATATAGCCATCGGAGCCATAGATGATAATTTACCTTTTTTACATATTCTTTATCAAATCACATTGGATCGGTTTGTCTTCCAAGCTCCTCCCAAAATCCCCCTGGACGGAGCGCCTCCTCCAAAGCCACCTCCCCCGAAGCCACCACCGCCCCCGCGGGGCCGCGGCGAGCGCCGGCGCGAGGGGCTGCGGTTCCGCCGGCGCGAGGGGCTGCGGTGGCGGCCTTCGGCGAGCCATCAAGAACATGACATGGTTTTGGTAGAGAAAAATGGAGGTTGTCTATGGTTGTCTACTGTAGTGATACCTTGCCACCCTTTTTGCTTCTTGGCCTTGAGAATCATGGGTATTCAAAAGGAAGGTCCAATCTATCGGGGGTCCAAGTTGGAATAGAAGCAAACCACAAGGGAGTCTAGAGTCCAAATGATTTTAACTACCTTTGGTTGCTCTGAAGTCCTTCAGAATCTCGGACACCCTGCTGCTAGCCCCAGGCTCCTACTCGATGTTCGTTGCCATAGCCTCAAAGATAGAAATGCCGGAACTCAGAAGGAAAAAAGAACGGTCTTCAATACCCAATGCTGTGCCCCAGCACTTGGGACACGATCCGAAATGGTTGACCTGGACCTGGTGAACAGAGATGTTCATCTACAATACCGGGAGACCACCGACTGACACCCTATCAAACTGAGATCCCACAAAGTCTGTAGACCACCGACTGACCCTCGCAGCTGGAGAATCCAAACTGGTGTGCCGACGAGCGAGACTCTGCTACCAAAACGATCACATCGGACGAGCGAATTCCAGTTTGGATGGCTCATCCGTCATTTGCGGTACAGTACATACAGAGTATCTTTGGCCTTAGATGCTTTGTAGGTACCCCCAGCGTTGGGTCGACCTTCTAGGCAAGCCTTTCAATGTTCGCAGCTATATTCCAGTATGTTACAAGTTCAATAACTCAAATCAAGATCACAACCCTAAGAGGTTGTGAAGAACTACTTCCAGTTGCATGACTTTCTGTGTCACCGATATGCTGCCCAGCTTTCTTGGCCGACGCCCCCGCACCCCCTCCTCCTTTGCGCCGCGAACGGCTGCGGCTGCGGCTGCGGCTGCGACTTCGACTGGCGCTCGAACGAAAACCCTTCGTTTGGGGATCCTGGACCCTACTCGGCTAATGAAAGCATCCATTGCATCGCCAAAAGGGTGACTTGGTAGTTGTGCTACTAGGCGCAAGGACGCTACTAGGGGCTCCTGGCATCGCTACTAGGAGCAAGGACGCTACTAGGGGCTCCTGGCCTTACTACTAGGCGCAAGGCGCTACTAGGAGCAAGGACGCTACTAGGGGCTCCTGGCCTTACTACTAGGAGCAAGAAGCTACTAGTAACAAGGGCATCGCTACTAGTTGTGATTGCTAGGTGCTCACAGATTTACTTCGTTGGAGTCTTCTCAGTGAGGTGGTGAAAAATGCAGTGTGAGGAGAGGTGCCTGGTCTTCTGGCTCCTGCTCACCTGCTCCTCACCCGGCCAGACTCAAGATTTGCACTCTAACACCAAACTCCCAATGCGTGAATATCGCGAGTACACCATGCGCGGATGAAGCAACCCTTTTTTTTTACTTCCAAAAATTCACCTCCCCTTTGATCCAAAACCAAAAGGGCCGGTCGCTCGAAGCTCGTTGATCAGGATCCCACCGGTTTCCCCGGCTTCCATCGCCTGGAGCTGGAGCTGCGTCTCCTGACTCCCAGAGGCGAAGCTCACGGGGATCGAGCCGAGCTCACGCGACACGGGAGACGGAGCGAGTCGAGGAGGCGGCCCAAAAAGAGACGAAAGCCCCTCATACCATTACCAGGAAAGGTGCCTAAAACCCATGGAGTTGTGACATGTGAGACCATAGACCATGTGGAGTACGCATGGAGTTTGAGGGCCGTTGGTCATTAGTCTCCAGTAGAGACCACCCTTTGGATTTCGGAAGAAATGCTGCACCACATCCAGTCAGTGGCACATATCATATACCGTCGACATGTGTTCTTTCTTTTTGAACAGGGATGCATGTGTTCTTTCTTGGGTGTCGCTTCCGAACGTTGGGCATGTCAAACTCTTCCCTCGAGCCCTCACCACCCATGGGCGGGGGCGGCGGGGCGTTTTTGGAGCCCTCACCGGTGGGGGACTCCGAGCCGGGCGTTTTTGGGGGGTCGGGTCCTCCACCTCAGAGGGTTTGCAAGGAGCTTCAAAGACACCAACTGAGTGACTAATAAGATCCAATAAGCCTCATCTGTGGGGATGGTTGAAGTATCTTGGAAACCATGTGCATGTTTTGGGGGATCTTTGCACCTGTGCCATCCTACAGTGGGACCGGGGCCATCCACCGTTGGACCACATGGATCCACAGCATGGGGGTGGCCGAACTTTTGGAAGAGACTTAGGGGTGCCCTGTGGGCCCTGCCCCCCGGGCTCTGCCCCCCGGTCACATCCACTCACTTGCAACCAAAAACCACCTCACACAGATCCAAAGTTTTCTCGGAGGGGTCGGGTGCACAGAGAACTGGCCGGTGGGCTGAGAATAGGAAGATCAGCCATGCAATGGATCGGCCGGTGTGGGTCATGGGTGGTCGCCTGATGGTCCATCGGCTCCATCATGGATGTCTCATCTCATCATGGGTGCTCGGGGGTTCCATCATTGAGCAATGTCCAATGATTTCAAGAGTCCATATTTCACGCACAATGCTGGTGCTTCATGGATGGAGGGGCAAATTCACTTGGAGAGGACAAACGATGCATTCCTTCGCAGGCTGGCTGGAGCCTCGCAGGGAAGAACTGTCTCGCCCCTGCGAAGATGACAGTCGTGTCTTTCGCTTTGAGTGAATGACAACCATAGTGCTCCATTCTTGAGGGTAGGCCATTTTAGCGATGCTTTACAAATACCATACTTTCTCCATTCAACCAACTTGGTGACTCAGCTGCTCTCCTCTTCTTTCGGCTATTGCTCCGTTTTCGACTCGGGCTGCGCTTTCCGCTTCCACTGCGCGACCTCGCTGGGGCGGTCGGGGCGGTCGGAATGAGACTTCCAGGTGCATCCAACGTGCTTTTGCTGTCCTGGATGCAAGTCGGATGCACCTGGGAAAGCAAAAGCACTAGGCCACTAGGCCATCCTGGTCAAACCATGGCCTTAGGGTCCTTCGGAAAAAGGTGCTGATGGTGAAGACACAGACCCTTCTGCTCCCTGTGAGATTGTTGGAGTGAAGATCGTCGGAGATCGTCCTCCGTGTGTCCTTCTTGTTGGACGGACGTCGCCCGAATGTCGCCCGGACGTCACCCGACGTGTCATGCTTTTTGGGCTTGTTGGACCGACACCCGGAGAGATGGATGTCACATCACCACTTGTTGGACCACGCTCCGCCACCGCACGCACCGCGCACGCACCGCGCACAGAAGGTGCGGCCTCGATCCACTGGAGCTGCTCTTCTTCTTCTGCGGTGCCGACCGGTCGGACGGTCCCGTCGAGTGGTCCCTTTCTCGTGGCGCCACACCGGTGGCGTGCGAGGAGGCTCGGGCGGTTGCGGAGTTGAAGGCCCGAAGTAGAAAAGGGATGAAAAGGGGAGAACTGAACAGCTGGAGGGATGCTTCAATGGGATGAGCTACTGATGAAAAGGGATCTGTTGGAAGCCTTCTCAGAAAGGCTTTTCGCTTCCACCTCGGAGAATCCAACAAATCGACAGGGGGGACATGGGTTTTAGCCCCACGACTCGGCTTTCAGATCACCGAGCTTCGGGGGGGGGGGGGGGCTCGGTGAGGCTCCACGGCGTGGCCAAGAAAAAGAACACCACATGAGCCATCCCGGATCACTGTTCTTTTTGGGGATGAAAAGACACAAATATTTCAACGATTGTTGTGTATGTGCTTTTCGGCTTTTTGTTCTTTGTAGATGTTGGATTGGGCATGTTCTTTTGAAGGAAAATCTGCCCTGCTTGGCCATCCAAACATCGGGCGCCTCCTTTGCGTGTGGGTCCGTCAAATCGTCCACCGAGGTCACACCTTGGACTGCACTTTCGGCTGCCCATTGACTTTTGCAGGTTGCCTCTCCTGCGCGGACAAAGACCATGGGCGTCAGAAGACGAAGATTGGGGGAGACAGCCGCTGTCTGGAGTCAACAACGCCACCCTTGGAACAAGAAGACCTCCTTCTTCATTAGAGTAGACAATCTGTCTTGGAGATACTGCATTGAATCTGCGAAAGGAGTATATAAATGCAATCCATGGGTCAGCCTGGTTCACGACATCTCCTCATTGTGGGACAAATGTATACAGTACAAATGCTTGAAACACATTCATTGCTGGGATCCTTCATACCCAGCTTCCTGTGTGAAAACTTCTCCAATTCCTGTCAAGTTTGATTGGCCATCGTACAATTTGATGCCATCCAGCAAAGAGACAGGAAAGTGGCTGCCAGCTACCAGCATAAGGATGGTGGATCCACCCGGACATGCGAATGACAAGAGTTGTCTGTTGGTACAGGATGTGATTTCACCAGCGCCTGAATCCAGGAATTTGGTCAAAGCAACAACTCCTTCTTGAACCAGTCGGAACATGGTTTTAAGATTTTGGAACCCTGTTTTTCTTTTAAAAAAAGACACTTCAACTTCAAAAGCCATGCCTTGTGCTCTGGCTCCACAGCTGCCGCATTGGTCAGCTGCTGCAGGAGTTGCCTCATGGACTCAGATCCCGGCGTCCCCAAGAAGCTCTTCGTTTGAAATCGAGATCCCTGCCTGCAAGAAGAGAGTAGTCAACTGAGTCAACAAATGTGTTGACCAACTCAAAGACCCTGACATCTGAATGGAGTTCTGAATGGAGTTCTAGATTTCGAGTGGCAGAAAGAGATATCAAAGTGCGAGGTGACCAAACCCGGGTGTTGGGTGCGCTAAACCTCCTCCAGGCCACTGCTGCAGCGCAGCCGAGGCGTCCACACTCGCCGGCGCGGCCGGCGCGGCCGCCGGCACGGTCGGGGCCGCCGGCGCTGTCGCGGCGGCAGCTGCTGCGGCGGCACCTTGCTGCGCCATCAGGAGGTACTGCAGATATTGCCTGGGTCCATCAGCACAGAGTGCAAAAGTCTCGGAGTTTGAATAGCTGGATTGGGATCTGCAGAATTTGAATAGACCAAGAAAGCATGAGGAAAAAGGGGCTTCAGCTGGGGCTCTTCCGTTCGAACTCCTCACGAACGACGGGGGTTGGTGAAGTCCCAAACGCCGCAGGACGCAGGTATTTGGTGTTTGGGGCGTCCTACCGGCAAGTTGGGCGTGTTTAGGCAACTTCTGCAGCCATTTCAAGGTGTTTGTCATTGTTTGGTTCAAAAGGCCCCAGCCCTTCGAAAGGATCAGCAGATCCTCGTGGGGACCCTTACTCCAAAAAAAGCTCCGAGCAAGGTTTGGCACAGCCAACCTACGACACACATCTGTTCCAAACTCAAAACCAGCTCTTCGAACCGAAATCAACCGCTCTTCGTTCGCCAACCACGTCCACCACGACCCACGTCCACCACGAAGAAACCCAGCTGCTGCTGTTGCTGCTGAGCGAGCAAGGGGTTCACCGCCGGCAGACCTCCGATCTCCACCGGTGGCTCTTGACGGCTCGTGTGGCTCTTGGCACGGTCCAGTGGCTCCGGCCATTTGGCGGGTGAACATGGGCACCTCATGCAGGATCATGCAGGTAAATCCACCTGGAAACGCTGAAGAAAAAAAGAAGAAATAACCTCTCCGATGAAAGTGGGTGAACAATGGTGAACACCTCTCCCAATGCAGTGGACCTCCGCATGCCCGACCATGGCTTGTTTCGAAGGCCGAAAGGAAAACCTCCACGAGGCTCCGCATGTGTCCACTTTCATGGTCGAAAACAGGGCCTTGCGGATCTAAACATCATGCGGATTTGAGTCTACGGTAGGACAACCTTTTGATCGTCGTGCTGCATAAAACTCGAATGGGACAAGCATGGGCAAGCAGTCTTGGAATCGCCTGGCTCAAAGACCTGCACCCTCACTGCCAGGTCTCCTCGTTCGAGGGTTGATTGGGTGTTAACTGGTCTTGGTCAAGGAAAAGGCAAATTACTCCAGTCATGTAGACTCTTGATTAATAAACCCACCCATTCGAATAGGACATCCTCTTCATATGGGGGCTTATTGATCAAGAATCATTAGGTGTGAGGTTGAACTTTCTCTCTGTTTCGATGAGTGCGACCTCGCTGGACCGTGTGGCTCGTGGGAAGGCTGTGGGGCTTGAGAACGAAACACGGCACATGGCGCTCGCAGGATTCTGCCTAGTTTGCTGAGGATTGGTTGGGTCTATCTATCCTATTACCAGTAACAGTCACAGTGGTAATTGTTTACTGACTGTTACAGGTAGTAGGACAGACCCAAAGGATTGGATTCTGCCTAAGTTGATCTAAGTTGAGGATCTGGAAAAGTGACCTACTCAGTGCGATAAGGAAGTCAGCGGGGCGTCAGGGTCGTGAAGATTCAATCCTAGCCAGCAGTCACTGCGACCAGGCTTGTCTAGATTGGTCTAGCAAACCTAGTGCTATTGGTTGGGAAGCGGAATCCTGTCGCTGATTAAACACCTTAGAACCTTAGAACCCCCTTTAAGCCAGCTCGTAAATCCACTCCCTTAGGCCCCACACTTCCACACCGGCACAACACGACTGGCCTGGCGCGCCCGTTGGAGCGCCCAGCCCAGGCAGCGGAGGGAAGCCCGGTAGGGCGCCGGGGGCGCCCGGAAGGGCGCCCAAGGGAGGAAAGGCCATGCTGGGCCTCCGGCGTCAGTGAGGGGTGGATGGTGAGCCTGTCTGGGTGGTCGACCAAGCTCGTGTGAGCAAACGCATCGCGCACTTCCGCTCCGGGTCCGTCCCTGGTTTTCGTGGCCATCGGCCAAATTGGAGCGCCAGGGGGAGAAGGGACTCCCACCTCGTGGGATGAGCAAGAATGTTCCAGTCAAACAGGGTCCGCTATGAAGAAAGGCTCAAAAGGTAAAAAGCCGTACCGCCGGGGGTGCTCATAAAAAGGGATTGGGGCGTCAACGATTGTTGATGGCTTCGACCTTCACTTTATGGTTGCACATGGTTGTTGCACTTTGTCCTTTCCCCCCAAAGCAATGAAATATGGTGATAGGGGAATGTCATTTATGGTCATCTGAGAACAAAGGTCACGTTAACGTTGGGATAACTGACAAATAGCACTTGCAGCACATTGTTCCCAGCTTTTCCCCCAACACTTTTGGGCCATGTTTTCAAGGGAAAATCTCTCAAGTGTCCAGCTCTCAACTGCTACCCTCCCCTGACCTCACATCCCGACAGAAGATGATCTGGAGGAGGCTCCCACCACGTTTAGCTTCCACTTTTCGCTCGCATCCGAGTCTCCTCCACCCCCTGGTCTCCCCTCGCAAGCTTGGGTGCCTCGAAATAATTCGAAGGGTCGAGTTGACCAAAACTTCGAGCCAACGTTGAGTGAGTCGAAAAAAACGAAAAGTCTGCAGTCAAAGAGATTGCGCAGGTTCGTTTATTTGGTGGATGGAAATCGAAGAAGTGGCGGGGACTCTTCTACCCGTTTCAAAGGGGTGTGCCCATTTCCCCTTCACTGGGAGTCTAAAAAACACACCTTTGGAACTCCTGGTATATACAGGTCTACCCCACGGAAAATGCTCCAGAGCACTGTCACCAATTGAACGGACCTGTGTCAAACGAACCAAGGGCTTCTTTCTGGGGTAGTCAAACGTCAATCCATTTGGATTTCGTGGGTCCTTTCTCTGCCGGATGTTTCGTTCGGATGGAGTTCCTTTCAGTGGCTCCACTTTGTGGTGAAGTCTTCTTCTCTCCGTGCGCCAGATTGGTGGGCACGGCGCCACCGACTCCGAAGGGGGGCCGACACCGAAACGCAGGGGTCCGGACACCCTGTGTTGCGGAAGGCCCGGATTCTGAGAGCTTCCGATGTTCTCGCTTCGCCACCCGTAGGAATTTCCGCAAAGACAACCTGAACGTTGACGGTCATGGTCTCTTTCAAGAATCCCTGGAGCCCCATGCACGAGTGCGTGGCCGCTCTGGATATCTTTGGTCCGCACAGCTTCAAAAGCTCGAGAGGAACCACAAAATGTTCGGAACCTTGAAATGTCGGAGGCGCCTTCTGGTTAAGGTTCCCTCCAGGTAACTATTCACCAATCGGGCGAAAGTTGAGAGCTTCCTGGATGTCTGGTTTGAGAGCTTCCGAATCACCTGAATTCTGCGCCAACCTGAAATCAAACCCCCTTAGTAGAGCCCTTTCACCTTTTCCTTTGTAGACTCAGTGTGCCACCGATTGGAGCCTTCAACCTTCGCCCTCCAAGATCCTCTGCTCAAGACCCACCCCATGGGCGCCTGCCCCGGGGCTTCAGGAGATGTCGATTCAGCAGCGCTGAATGGAGTGCCGGTTCAGGCATCTGAGCGCCCACCCACGCCCGCCCTTCCCTTGTTCAGCCACTCAAGAGTGAGCTCTACATCTTGGCCTGCTGCGCTTGCGGCGCGGCCTCTGCAAACATCTTCGCCATCTCGGCCAGCTTGGTTGACTGCTTCACACCGAGGTCCAGCATGATCTCCTGATCATAAGGGTTGCGCAGGTGGTTTCTTGTCCATGTTGGCTTCTAACCCTCGTAAGGCACTGATACAAGTAGTAGACGGATGTACGGGAAGATTCATTATGATACGTCCGTCATGGTTTGGGCCATATTAGCTGAGCAAAAAGAAATCCCTACTACCTGTTTCTCCTTCTCAAAGTTCCTGGCACAAACCTTGGGTGAGGCGTGAAGATTGGTCAAGCCTGGTTCTTCACCTCTCTTCATGCCAAGGACCTGGTGGTGTTGCAGCCTATCTGATACGTTTCGACTGTGCCTAACGAATTTATCAGGAGGCCTGGACAGTCCGAGACATACATGGATCCTAGGTACAAATCCCTCTCCGCTCTTGATCAAGGGATCAAGCTCTTTGAGTCCTTGACTTTGCACCATCCAAGCAATCAATGATTTGGGCCATCTACAAGTACCCAACCCCAAAAAGATGTCTCACAAGAACGTCGAGGCTGCTCCATCTGCTTCGTATCCCTTTGTGGCCTAGCCTTTTCTGTGCCTCGGCGCTGCTTTCATCCTCTTGGACCCCCTCCAACCCTCCCGCCGTCTTCCCGCGGCTTGGCGCCCGCCTCGGATCCACCGGGGATCGCCATGGCGCGCACCTCACGGTTCAGGCGCTCCACCTTCTCGCCCTGCCCGCCACGGCTGTAGGACAGGCCGCCAAAGATCTGCGCGGCCTCGGGCACCGATGTGGGCGCAGCACACCGGGCGGGGGTGGGAGGGGAAGTGGATGGACAATGGGGTGAGAGGGTCTGTGTGTGTCGCGCACGCGCACACACACTCTTCAAGCAGCTTCGAAAACGATGCGTAGTAAACCCTGATAATTAGTGGTTCCTAGTTGGATAGAAAGGTGAATCCCCTCCCGGGTGATAGAAAACCTGAGGCTTGACACCCTCTTTCTACGCTGATCGATCTGATGTGAGATGCAAATCAAACTACGTCGTGGGCCAACCACCTGCTCACTAAGAAAACCCTATATACTATACACTGAGAATATACCTATTTGCAATGGTAAATGGCAAATCAAAGCTTCGTACTGTACACGGA